TTTGACCTGAAGTACAGGGGGTTAACTGGCAATTTGGGAAGTTGGTAAAAAGCCAGCTTTTTGGCTTTTTAGCTTATTTACACAAAAAAGCTACAAAAAAACCCAAAAAAACTAGTTTTTTTTACCAACTTCCCAAACCACCATGTGTAAGGACCAAAGTGAGATTTAGTGGAAAGTGCAAGGGTGCAAATCGTAATTTACCCTATTTTTTTTTAAAGGGTTCACTTCTGATGATATCACATGTTTATAACATATTTAACACATATTGATAATCCAAATAGTTTAATGTGCAAGGGCCGTCAAATATGTTATATCTACAGAAAATCACACCGATTAGACATGAATATCCACTTAATTAGATTATATTTGCGTCACAATTTATTTTTAAAACCATGATACAGATCTGATGTTCAAGTGACTATCAATATCTAATCAATGTAATTTTTTACAAGTATTATGTATTAGATGATCCTTATACATTGAACGATTTGAATAATTAAAATGAATCTGAAATAAGCTCCAACACAGGCCAACAACACACTAGTCTGATTAGGCTCTCTCCCTTAAATATAATTTAAAATTGTGATAATTCTAATATATTAGTCTAAAGTGATGATGAAATTCCCTAACTAATACTTTTGTTTTCAATGATTTATTTTATTTCTTTAAAATTATTTTTTTACCTATCAAAAAAAAAAAAATCATTTTAGTGTCATCCTTTGCCACAATTGGCTCCACTTGGCAAGTATTATGTGTCATCATTTTTTATTTTATTTTATTTTTGGTGCGTGTGTTTTCCTATGACTCCATTAGCAGAGCTATGTCCCAACCTTTGCCACAATTGGCTCCATTTGACAAGTAATTTTTTTTTTTTCCCTTCTTTTGACTCAATATCTGCCCTTAAAAGAACTGAAAATTTTGGGTATTAATTCTATCATCCACTAATAAAGGTTTAATTAAAGTTGCGACAAATTTCATATAGACTATCTCAAAAAATTATTTATGTGTAGAAGATTTCGAACTTTAAACTATAGAATAAGTACATTCCAGATCCTAGGTCTTGACTACTAGGTCAATCCATACTCTAAACAACTTATAACAAATTAAGCCGATCATTCATATACTCTTAACTGAGAAATCATGTGAGTTGATTCTTGTCAAATACTAGTTGATTAATTTTCACCTATTATGGGGTTTGTCATTGCATTGAGTTGTTTATTTAATTTCATTATCACTCATTTTTGTGTTGGTTTTCGGCTTCTAGAATTAGAGTTCAATTTGATGTAATTCTCTTTACATTCGTAAATAATCTCTTACCGATCAATAATAAATAAATAAATAAATAAACTTCAATAGATATATGGGTTGGAATGCTGGTTAATTTGGAATCATGATTAATTGAATAAATAAATAAACTTCAATAGATATATGGGTTGGAATGCTGGTTCATTTGGAATCATGATTAATTGAATAAATTTTGATTCCACGATAGTGGGTTAATTGAATCAATCTTACCACATTTTTTTCCCAGTAGTGAGAGTATTTGGGGCTTTGCTTAATTAGTTTTATAATACGTTTAGTTTGTCATTATATCAGGTAATTATTACGTACGAGTTTTAGGGGTGATTTTAACGCCGAAGCACTTCATAATATTCAAACTAGTGACTTTTATTCTTTGAAACACTCGTTATGGCTCATGGCTCAACTTACCGCTCAACTAATCCTTAGAAATTCAAAGGAGCCCAAGTTTGTCCTTGTAGAATTAATCTGTGTACATAAACACTTTCGTTTACTCATGACCCTCTCAAAATCAAACTTCATTTGAAATAAAATCATAAAACTTCATAAAATTATATTACGAGTGAGAAAACAAATTCATATCTCACTAATGTTGTATATAAGGTAAACAAAAAGCCATAGGAGACCACTCTTGTATATTCTTACTGGGAAGTTAGGAGGTCAGTCTTTGCCAAAGACAAAGTTTGATTATTTTGTTGTATTATGTTTATTTAATATCATTATAGGCTCTTTTTTATGTTGGTAGTTAGTAATTGGTTGGTTTTAGTTGTTGGACTACGATTGTTAGTTTGATATAATTCTCATCACATAGTTAAAAATATATTATTGGTTGACAAAAAAATAAAAATAAAAAAATAAAATAAAATAAACAAACTATCTTTTACTAATGTTTTTATTTCTTTATACTTAAATGGGTAATTTTGACATTATAAAAGTTAATAATCACTATTATTTTTTCACCTAATCTCTCCAAAAAGTAAATTTTAAGAAAAACAAGTTTCATTTTATTTCTTTCAATTTCCTCTTATTTTTCTGCCCTTTAATAATACAAACAAATGATTGAGACCAAGAAAGGTCCACTTCTTTTTTTTTTTGGTCACTAAATCACTCAATCGAAAAGGGCTGTGTTTTATAAATAAAAAAAAAACGACAATGCTACGTAGCTCAAATTTTGTGGCTCAAAAGTGGCTTAAATGGCTAAAACGACGTCGTTTTGAGTACAGAACAACATAAAAATGGCCAAAACGACGTCGTTTTGGCCATTTGAGCCACTTTTGAGCCACAAAATTTGAGCTACGAAACATTTTCCAAAAAAAAAAAAACCGAAAAGGGCTGTGAGTTACACAAAATTGTTTGTGCATAATGTCTTGGTATTTGAAATTGTTCTAACTAACATGGACAGTAAATATAATTCGTCTCTCCATTGTAACTTATGTTTATTTTCTCTTATTTTTTACATGTTCGATTTTTTCTTTTTTTTTATTATAAAATTTATAAATCATGAGATATTTATTGTTGACCCCAATTCAAAGTCTCCTCAAATCATAAAAAAATAATTACAAGTCTTCCTTGAAAGTTTTGAGATATAGACCTTACAAAATGGATGTGATGTTACGAAAGAGAGTGTGCACTATAGTGTATAGTTACATTTTTGTGTTGCACTATCACAATTTTTTTAATTTTTTTTTTTTTTTGTCAATAACATTATTAAACATATTAACAAATCTAAGGCAGTCAATAAAAAATTAATAACTACATATAACTCCCATTATAGGGTAAAAATAAATTACCATCACAAAAGGATATCAAATTCTTTTTCATTGAAATTGAATCCAATACTTCATACCATAAATTATGTTACACAACCATAAAGCCAAATATTGCATGATTCACAATTTTTACCCAATCAGGGCTCAATCTTTTGATAGGTCACTACTAAAAAAACCACTTTTTGCGACCGCTATAAACCGTCGCAAATAATAAAAAACAGTCGCAAAAGACTTTTTGCGACGGCCCATGCGACGGCAAATGGGGGTCGCGAATGTGGGGGTGGCAAATACTTTTTGCGACCGCAAAATAGCAGTCGCAAACTATTTGCGACCGCCTAATCTACTTATCGCGACTAATATTTTGCCGTCGCAAAAAAATTAAAAAAATACCTACAATGTATTAGCGACCATCTTGTTACCGTCGCAAAAAAAATATAAATAAATAAAATACCTACAATGTTTTAGCAACCTATATTCTCATATATATATATATATATGCTCCAAACTGACACTTTTCACAGATCAGATTTATACATATATAAATTTATATAATATATTTATATAGATAGAGAGTTGATTTATAGTGAAGAAAAAATAATAAACACCCACCTTCAGATTTTCTCATTCCTTTCTCTCTGTCTCTCTCATTTCATTTCCATTATGAGCTCCAATCTTTGCAAAGCTCTTCAAATGCTTTCTCATTCCTAAAATGTCGACCGTAGAGAATCCCAGTACCGATATTGAAACCCGCCGTCGCAGGCGTCACCGTCGCCGCCGTAAGCGGCGGACTTCAGTCGCCGGAATCACCGAAACCGGCACCGACGACGGGAGTCTCTGCTTCTCCGACACCGAATCCGACGACCAGTCGTGGCGCTCGACTGTCGCCGGAGGCTCGTTCTCGGAGATCGAGTGCGTTTCGGACCCTCACAGTCACAGGGAGTCTTCTGGGTCGGATTGTTTGTCGCGTGAAGTGGATTTGGAGAGTGGGGATTTGGAGTTGAAAGTGCATTTAGCTAAAGAACAAAGAGATTGTAGAATTTGTCATCTGAAATTGTCTCAAAACTTCAAGACCCTAAACATGACTAGAATTTCAACTTCCTAAGACAGAGCAAGAAACAGAAAAGCAAGATAGTAACAACATTAAATTCCAATCTCAGTGACACCAAGTATCATATACAATAGAAAACACACACTATAGGCATTAGCTTGAATATGTTCTACCCGAAAAAAGGGGGTGTGCAAAATGTCGCCCAAGCTGCCTACGCAATTCAAAGTTCTAGAAAATGATATCTCTGCTTGCGTAGATAAAATGATAGTAAGGCTGTGTTTGGGTCATGGAATTGAGGGTAATGGTTTGGAAATGGAAAGGAAAATGTGAGGGAAACTGTGGAAAAAACACAGCCTAATAGACAAAACCACCAAGTTGAAACTGCTTAAACAAATCAACCGACCCACTGGTTTGGGTGAACCGTGGTTTCGCGGTGGCTGGCAAAAAGCTCAATCCGCACTAAATTGCTCTGCTCCTACCCGAGAAATTCCTCACAAACATCAAACCCTAGCATAAAGTCTATAGTCTCTTTTATTTTACATTTTTTTTTCCTATCGCAAAAAAACAGCAAATAAGTACAGAGAAGCAGCAAAAACTACAAAAACATTCTGAGAACAGGACAAAACCTCAAAGATACCCACCCAAAAAAAAAAATCTCAAAGAATTCTCATATATAGTGAAAGACAATTAAATTACACAAGCAACCTATCATAATTTATACTGAAATTCAACATCTTAAACACTTCTAACAAGAAATTTGGAGAACCAACAATTACACATCCCAAAGTTCCTCACAGACATCAAAATGTTTCATAAAATTACACATACACCAAGAATAAATTCACAGAATCACAATCAATTCATTTTCTTTGAACTCTTCATACACAGCAAATATCATAAATACATGCAGAAATATAGTAGAGTGGCATACCTATTCATTTTCTTTTGAAGCTTGCTGCCCACTAGATGCATCTGACACCTACAATATGTTAGTATAATGTGTTAATAATTTCCATATGTATATATGCAAATTGATAAAACGTAAAATTCGTCAATTTGTAAGTATTGCACCTCTCTCAAGCTCATACTCCCAGCCATACCCTGTGACTCTAAGAACAAAACACGTGCCGTTAGGTTCTTGATCATCGTAGTGAACCTAGACTCAACGTCTTGTGTCACACGCTGTGTGATCTCATCAATAAATGAAGGGGCTGATAATGATTGGGATGGGCCGCTTCCTCGCGCATACACCGCACTCCAGGGCACTCCTCTCCCATAGGTCTTGTAATACCCATGTCCATCCTTCCCAAGGATTTTATGGTAAATCCCATCGCAATACTCAATCGTATGTTGCTCCTTAGGAACTTTCCAAAGATGCGCATTATATTCCTCCTACATTTTGAAAACATAAGGACAATGTTTGGTAAAAAGCAAAATATGTGTAAAAACATGTAAACCATAGACATACCACAATTGCTACCACATCAGGATCATTCAGGTTGTGTGCCCTCTTCCAGAGACTCATCTTATCTATTCGCTCTCCTTTATGTGTCATCTACATTTTTTTTCAAGTTAGGAGCTCAAGTCTTCACAACATAATAAGTCAAAAATGCAGCACTAGGTGCAGCCACAACTGCAGCCACAAGTGTCACACCAAGTGCACTAGGTGCGGCTGCGGCTGCAGCTGCAGCAGTAATTGTAGTCACAGATGATGCCTTAGGTGCAACCACAAGATCAATACATTGAAACGAATATCTGAGAAAGATGTCCTTCCGGTCGTATGTGGAGGCCCACGAAATCCCCGATTAGAAGAATTCTTCTTAGCAATCGCCTATAACATTGGTTAGAATATCAAACATTAGTTATTTATCATTAAAACATTAATTAAAATTTTATAAAGACTACATATACCTGCACTTCTTTACTCGCCCAATATTGTACAAGTTTCCTCCACTGGATTGGCACTATGTTACTAGGTACTCTAGAAGCAATGTCCGGATCATTCTTGAATGGAACCCAATACTTGGACTTTGTCTTGCTTTTATGATCTTTCCACGATGTCCTACAAAGTCGCATGCAAACCTCCTTGAATTCATCTGGACAGTATACCAAGTTGTCCTACAAAGCACAAATTGAAAGCCAATTTCATCCTCATAATTATAGAGCATACACAAATGCACAAGCAAGCTAATAATTAATAACTAAACACAATTAACAAGAAATCATAAATCAAATAACTAATAACTTGGAAAAATTCAAAAATCTAAGCATAAACCCTAACCGTAATTAGGAAAAGGGAAAACTATATACCTTCACCTCTTGCCAAATATTCTCCTTTACATCAACATGCATCACATTCCAACTGAGATATGCAAGTGGGACTCTATGCCCGCTGCGCACGATCAACCCTAATTGTCCTTTCAACTTTTTGCCATCATCATCCACTGGCTGAAACTTATCATCAAATTTTACTTGGATCTTAGTGCCTGTACCCCATTCCTTTATCCCTCGGGCTAATCCTCGACCTCGTCGTGTTAAGGTAGTTGATACTATATATGGAGATAAAACAGATGAAGAAGATGCTCCATCCATAGTGCGAGGTAACGAAGGACTTGCCCGCACACATACAGCCTCATCTATAGTGCAAGGGATCTTAAAGGTCTTCCTCTTTCGCTTCATGCTAAAATGAAAGAAATATGAAAAGGTTAATACACAAGAAATATGGATATCAATTTACTAATAATATAACACAAGATATAAATATAAACAAATGACACAAATCAGTTTCAGAACAAATAAAACTTTAGCAGTAAAGTTTACCTCGAAATTTACTTATAATATAACAAATGATAGCAATTTACTTATAATATAACATAAGATACCTATTAGCATCCTCGGTTGTCTTCCCAACAATTCTTCCTTTTGGCGATACTGATAACTATCAAGAGTGTAAGTCAAATTCAAAACCAATTTAATACATGAAAAATAGCATCAACTAACAAGATAAAGTCATAAAAAAAAACTCCTACGAATACTAACTAGAGAGGCAACATCAACTCCAATTTCATCTAGGACCTGTCAAGTAAATAAATAAATAAATAAACAAACTACCCAACATGTGTTATTCAATTAACAATAACAAAAAACATAAATCATCTTGATTCATAAAAAACATAAACCAATAGAAGAACAAGAAAAATTAAACAATGAACCTAGTTGGTTAGCTCTTTAGTTTCCTCTTCAGTCTGCTTAGCTGGGGACATTTGTTGTAAGCAAGCTTGTAATTTTGTTATTTGTTGCCTAAGATTGATTAGCTGGCATGCTGAAATTTTAGTTGTTGCCTGCAGAATGCAAATACAAATAAAAATAAGAAGATAAATCTGAATATAAAAACAAGAAAGAGAAATACGTTCCAGAATGTACCTCATTTCCTGTTTTAGCAGTTCTCTTTATCTCTGTAACAAGTTTCTTTTCCTATATCAACAAATAATTTATAACCGACATTGTAATTGAATAAAAAACATAAACATTACATATAAACTCTTTAACATACTTTCAATTGCAAGGTAGTGATTTCCCTCTCAATTGCATTGGCCATTTCGAAGAACAAAGATCTGTATGCAAGTCCACAACGATGTCTCCTACGCTCGTAACTATTAGAACTGACATTGTAATTGAATAAAAAACAACCACCACGGTAAGTAAACATTTATTATAAAAAGAAAGAAAATTTTTATGAAATTCTACACTTGATAATAGAACAACACATAAACATATATAAATTTATCACAAATTCAGCAATTAAGCACGAGACATTTTAACGATATTTAAACTTTTCTTATTTGCAAATAATAGAAACCTAAGAAACACGGAGTATAGTTCAACCCTTTTCCTCAACAATCACAAATAAAGTTCAACCATCTTCATCAACATCAATTGTTGCTCCTTCTATTCCTTCTCTCACCCAACCAATTTCTTCATCACGAAGCACAGTGTTGTCTTCTAAATGTTGAGTCATATAGGGTTCAACTTGAGGATCATCATTAGAATTCATATCAAAAAGACCTCTTTGAGACATCTTTACCACAACTTGCCAATCTGGTTCCAAAGGATCAGGAACATACCAAACTTGCTCGGCTTGGGATGATAATATAAAAGGTTCATTGCTAACACGATCGGTTGGGTACAACAAACGATTGAAGTTGACTAAATTCACCGTCTTCCATTTTTCCCCTAATGTTATCAACCCAATCGCACTTAAACAACACATATTTCAATCCCTTGCTTGAATTCGGATGTTCCAACAAACATGCACATATTAACACAATAACATGTTCAAAGAGGTGGAAAAAAAAATTACTTCAAGTGAAATGAAAAAAAAATGCTAGAATATGTTTCTTTTTTAGAAATGAAATATGTGGAAGTGCATATTATGTGGCACCAGAAGTCCTCCACAGATCTTATAGACTATAGGAGCATACTGTAAAATATATTAAGAACAGAGCATGTTATACAAGTGAGACAGATAGATATGTAAGGAGAAAAATGTTCAAACAAGGTTGCAACAATTTTACTTGGACTAACGAACTTTGCTTGAAAAATACTATAAAATGTAGTTGAGAAAAGCGAGATATTCTTTGATGCAAGTGCTACACGCTAACCTGTTGATGAATTCGCTTCTTCAGTTGAATAATTTCTGGATTAATAGCATCATCCTCTCTGAGATATAACAAACCAAAGATAATGTGAATGCTCTCTGATATTCATTTGTTGATTCATTTCTCTCAAATTAATAGCAGATGAGGAAGGATTTATTCAAACCAAAGCTTGTTTCCAGAATAAGCCTACCTGGTGAAAAAATCAATACGAATGAATGAGTCGAATTACAGTGAGTTCAGATGAAGAAGTTGAATACGAATTACAGTGAGTTCAGTGAGTTCAAGTAATCGAAGTAGAGAGATGAATAAGTTGAAATACGAATGAATGATTCGAAAGTGGCGTATGACCACGAAGGTGGTCTCCTGGGCCACAGTGTCTCTCTAAAGGGAGGAAATAAGGTGTGTGCCAAAAATCGGAGTCAACGGAGGTAGTTAAGCGATCCCGAACTGAGGCACACAGCCGACGGCTCCGAAAATCGAAAATCGGGCTCCAAATGGGAAAAATGGCCTACGACCACGAAACGTAGCCTACGGCCACTGAGAGATGGTCTACGAGACCTCTCCCTTCCTTCGAGAAAAGAAAACAGAGAAAACAAAACCAGGTTCGCAAACCGAGGCAAAGCATAGAAGAGCTCCGAAGTCCGGAGGCAAGACTCTCAGCCGAGACTCTGAAACCTCAGATTGAGCACAAAATGCAACATCACCGAGCGCTCAACTGATGACGTCTAAGTCTTAAGGTCGGTCAAAAATGGGGTGTCTACAGTAAGCAAAATGTAATCCATCCCCGCCTCGTATAAGTGTGAGGTCGGGTAAAATATGCCTCGTTCAGGGCGGGTATGAGTGGGCTCCTGCGGGTTCGGCTAAAATAGCCATCCCTAAGGGCGAGATATACATCAAAAGTAACCAGAATCAAAGATATGTGCAATGTTGAAAGGCAGAAATTCAAAGGCATAAAGAACAAGTGAAATCAAAACTGAAAATGAGGAGTTGAGAGACTTACAAGTCAGAAATGGCAAAGTGGAGGCCGGAATCGTGTTCACCAGAGTGAGACAGTCACTTTGATCGGAGCAGCGTGATGAATGACCACCGAAAATGGAAAACGAATGAGTTACATCTTTGGAGCTTGAAGGGGCAACAATGACAAAAAGGATTTAGAGAGAAAGAGAGAGTCTGAGACAAGAGAGAGAGAATGAGGAATGTGAAGTGAAGAGACGAAAAAGAGAGGGAAAAGTTTTGCAGGAAATACAAAAAGACAGCAAAAAAAAATTATTCAAATGCCTTGGGCAAAGTGCTGAATTGACGTCATCTGACGTCAGGCGGTGTAGACAGAGTTGAAACGACGCCTTTGATTGATGGATGTGATGGGTATACACCAACGAAGTGGTGCCACATGTCTAGACGGTTTTGAAGTTTTTTTCAGAAATGAACTTGAACTTGTGGGTTCTTGAACTAGCAGGTCATAACCTTGGCTAGTAGTATGATCTCCATTGAGGTGATGATCTTAGACAAGATGTTGAATTTAAATGATATGGAACATGTTGGTTCTTGGTTCTTGATGAGTGGACACTTGAGTTCTTATTTCTAAACGTCGACGAGTTATGATCTCGGTTGGAAGAGCATCCTTCGTTATGTTGTTTAGCCAACATGTTGAGAGGGTAGACAATCTAGGTTAGGAAGAGCAAGTTAGGAAGAGAAGTAATGTGCAGAGGGAGAGGTTAGGGATAGAAAAGCTTAACCTTTTTCTTGTCTACAACGTTCGCTTATATCCTTTGGTAATCATTTCGCTGTCCCTTCCGACCTGCTCTCCTCGCCGAAAGCCTATGCTGTAGCTTACCTTGCTCAGGGTAAGGGGGGTCCTGTTCCGGCGGGGAGGTGTTGTCGTAATAAATGCTGTGATGGGCTGCATTAATGGTGATGTGCAGTGGCAATAACCTTGCAGATCTTTGTCTGCTGATGTGACTCGCCCTTCTCTTGCCGTGTATCTGAATGTCATTGGCTCTTTATGCCATGTTGGATTCCAGCTGTCCTGGACCTCACCAACTGGGTTATGCACTGGGCTTCAAGTGATATGCCATAGGTAATTCGTGGCCTTTATGGGTTTTTACCTATCATTATTGAATAAAAATTTCAACTAAAAACAAAACTCGCGTATAACCCTCATAGTTTGGCATGAAATTCACCAAACATTATAGTTAGTTGATATATTTATTAATATATATGTTCATGTTGATTAATGTTGCTAATATTATAGGAGTTTTGTTAATGAGTGTCCTTATTAGGGCACTTGATAAGAAACTTGACATACTTGTACATAATGCATGGGAGTGCATGCAACATGTAAGCTTGTTTTAGAAAGTAGGTTAAAAATCAATTTTTTGACTATTTTTTAGTTTTTTTTGAAAAAAAAAAAAAACAAAAATATAGAAAGGTGATGTAACTCAAAAAAGTCAAAAAATTTAAAAGCTCACTTTTAACTTAAATGCCAAAATAGGCCGTAATGTATAATCAATTTAAATATCATTAACCAAACCCATATTATAATTCAACAAATGGTGGCATTGTCCACAAAAACACTCATAGGCTAATATAGTCATTTTCATCTTTGTATTTAATTTTTTTTAAAAGTAAATTATACTAATTTCTTTACAAATTTAATATAATTATATGAAACGTTCTTAATATTTAATCGTATAAATGAAAAAAAAATAATATTATTATCTATTTTATATTAAAATGTTTATTAATGTGTCTACACAGTTAGTTCCAATTAGTTTAACCTTTCTAAAAGTAAAATCAGTATAATTATGTCAAATTTATATAGATTATATATAGGGTAGACTACCAATAAGTCTTGATAGTTGGACTTAATTTTCATCAAGTTTTATTAAAAATAAGTCATAGTAAAATTATCGATAAAAATAATTTTTACATATGTCGTTAAAAATTGACAATTAATGATTTTTTTTATCACGATTTTAATAAATTATCGTTATAACTTAAAATTAGTAACGCTTTTCTATAATGAATTTTTCAAATTGTCGCTGAAAACTTATAGTTAGTGATATTTTTGTAACAAAATTTTTAAATTGTTGCTGAAAATTAACAATTAGGCCTCGTTTGAGAACATACTAATTTAGTAATTTTTTGGCTATTTGGCTAAAATATGAATTAAAAAAACTAGTATGTTTGGAATGACTTTTTGACTTTTTACGAAAAGATGTGCAAAAAGTAGAGAGAAAAGAGAATCTTTGACTTTTTGGTATGGATTATTAGTTTTTTGACTAATTTAATAACTTTTTGACTAAAAGGGAGGGTTCCCAAACGAGGCATTAATAACTTTTTTAACAGTATTTGATAAAAAATGTCATTAATTATCATAAGACTTATTAAATAATAATTCTACCTATTAAGACCTACACGTAAATCTCCATATACATATATATTAATTTCAAAGATGATTTGTAATTTAAAAAAAAAAAAACATTGAATAGTAAATAAATTATGAATATATTTGAAGGGTAAGTAATATTACAACTTCATGATAGATACATCACCAGCTCTGCATAGGAGAAGGATATGTCAGATTTACAGGTAATTAATTAATTAATTTATATTCTCGCATTTTCTTCCTTGTCTTGTGGTACCTACCACTTTTATCTTACAGTAATGATTCATACCACTAAAAATATCACCACTAATAGCACTAATGCATTAAAAAAGTAAAAAAAAAAAAAAAAAAAAAAACCCCTGTTTTAGCAGTTCTCTTTATCTCCGTAACAAGTTTCTTTTCCTATATCAACAAATAATTTGTAACCGACATTGTAATTGAATAAAAAACAACCACCACAGTAAGTAAACATTTATTATAAAAAGAAAGAAAATTTTTATGAAATTCTACACTTGATAATAGAACAACACATAAACATATATAAATTTATCACAAATTCAGCAATTAAGCACGAGACATTTTAACAATATTTAAACTTTTCTTATTTGCAAATAATAGAAACCTAAGAAACACGGAGTATAGTTCAACCCTCTTCCTCAACAATCACAAATGAAGTTCAACCATCTTCATCAACATCAATTGTTGCTCCTTCTATTCCTTCTCTCACCCAACCAATTTCTTCATCACGAAGCACAGCGTTGTCTTCCAAATGTTGAGTCATATAGGGTTCAACTTGAGGATCATCATTAGAATTCATATCAAAAAGACCTCTTTGAGACATCTTTACCACAACTTGCCAATCTGGTTCCAAAGGATCAGGAACATACCAAACTTGCTCGGCTTGGGATGATAATATAAAAGGTTCATTGCTAACACGATCGGTTGGGTACAACAAACGATTGAAGTTGACTAATGTGAATTTGAAAGCGTCTTCCATTTTCCCCCTAGTGTTATCAATCCAATCACACTTAAACAACACATATTTCATATTGTTAGTGTACCGGATTTCGACAATATCAGTCAACTGTCCATAGTAGTAGACAGCACCGACGCGAGGGCTCTGTCCTTCCGACTAGCATAACTCATTGTATCAGCCTTTAAAGCTATACCACTATTTTGAGTCACCCGACGATCATCCACAGCCTTCACACGAAAATGAAACCCATTGATAATGTAACCATTGAACCGCCTAGCCAAGGTATGAGGACCATCTGCTAATCTATTGATTTCTTCAGTAAATGTAATATTACTTGTCCTTCGCAAGGTCTGAACCTATTAAAAAAACAAATATAAATTCAACTTCAACTTCAACTCAAAATTTATGTATATTTAGATATGTGAAATGAAATGTCTAAATACATACATGGTCCTTAAACCAAGTGTAGAATGTTTCGAAATGCTCAGATTGAATTTGATGATCGCTTGCACGTGGCATTTTGCTCTTAATGACTTCAAGGTGTTTGCTGCGTAAATTGGAAAAGAATAGTAAATATCATATAGATTTCACTTTAGAATTTTACAATACTAGGAAAGTGATAAATTACCTTATGAACGGTGCAACTGAACTTGTGTTGGACAACACATATCGGTGACTTATGTATGAATACTTCCTACCATGCTTCAACCAATATGATTGAGTTTTCACATTGCAGCAAGGACAAGCATATTCACCTTTCGTACTCCATCCTGATAAGTTGGCATAGGCAGGAAAGTCACTGATTGTCCATAACAAAGCTGCATGCAATTGAAACATTTCATTGGTTGATGCATCAAATGTTTGTTCACCTTCATCTCATAATTCCTTCAACTCTTCAATCAATGGTTGCAAATACACATCGATCTTATCGCCAGGTCCTTTTGGCCCATCAATCAGCACAGACAAAATCAGATTTGGTTGTTTCATGCACATCCATGGTGGTAAATTATACGGAATCAACACAATTAGCCAAGTGCTATAAATTATGTTCATTGATCTAAATGGGTTGAATCCATCTGTAGCTAACCCAAGACGTACATTACGACTATTACTAGCAAAACAAGTGTTTCGCCGATCAAAGTCCTTCCATGCGAGGGAGTCAGCAGGATGCCTTAACACACCATCATCAACTCGTTCTTCCGCATGCCATCTCATGAGCTTTGCCGTTTTCGATGACATAAACAATCTCTGCAACCTTGGCTTCAAAGGGAAATACCTCATCTGTTTTGCTGCTACCCGTTTTCCAGATTTCCTTTCATCATTTCCAACACCACCATTTTGTTTCCATCTAGAACTATTGCATATAACACATTTATCAAGCTTTGTATCCTCCTTTCTGAACAACATACAACTATTGGGGCAAGCATCAAAAGTCTCATATGTGAAACCCAAATCTGTAGTAACCTTCTGAGCTTGATAATATGAGCTTGGAAGTTTTGTGCCCGTAGGAAAAGCCTCATTCAAAAGTTCAAGTAACATGTCAACGGGCTTGTCAGTCCATTGATTGAGCACCTTCATATGCAAAATTCGAACAATGAATGATAATGAAGTAAATTTGTGACACCCCGGGTACAGATCAGTTTGTGCATCTTTCAAAAGTTTAAAATATTTCAAAGTTTCGTCATTTGCCCCTATCTGAACCGGATCATCTTCCTCTACATGGCTTGGATCACTTGCCCCTGCTTGGTCTGGATCACTTGCAGTTGGTTCATCATTCTCAACACCCATATGTGGAATTCCCAGGGCCTCTTGTACCATCCCAACCACATCATCTCTAGTCACTGAATCCGCCATTAATGTTTGGTTTTCTTGGTTACCATGTAATTGGACATAGGATTCCCCATGATGAATCCAATTTTTGTACTTTTTTACGAACCCATTGGAAATAAGATGCTCCCTTACAACCTCTCGTGAAAAATTGTATCGATTACTACAAAATCGACATGGACAACTAATCGATAAACTTTCATCTCTATTGTTGTATGCAAATCTCAAGAAATTATCAATCCCATTCACGTAATCAATTAACATCTGATTTGGCAAATCATCCAATTCTTGTCCATCTTTCTATTTCTTTAACTGTTTTTGTACACATCCATAAAAGGAATGAGTTTGCAAAGTATCACAATAACAATTGCATATTATAGTTCAAAAAGTATCACAATAACATTGACATTGCACCAATAGGAAATGTGATATGCATGATTGGCCTGCAAGAGAATGTAATGTTATCTACTTTAAGGAGATTCTCTATTTCGACTGCTTTACCTTAATATGAATTGCAAAAGAGTATTCAGACCATAGTTATAAATATCAGCCTAGACTAATACACTCAAGTATATTTATAGGAATGAAAATCAAGTATATTAATAGGAATGAAATTTGGAGGTTGTTTATAGGTTGTTTGTTTGTTTAGTTCTCAAATCCATTTATTGATTTGGGATTTGGGTTTTCCTTAGTGACTGTTAGAGGTAAAGTAAGCATCAACCCAAACTCCAGACAATAAGCAGGATGCACACCATATCCTCTTTTCATCCAAATGATAGGGACTTTGATTGGGTCACAGTGCATGACACCACGAATCCAAATCATCCCTTCTTTGAGCTCTTTGTCTATTGCGGCTTTCTCTTATATTCCTCATTGAGTGACTGCCCTGTCAAGGCTTAATATTCGAGGACAGACTATTACATTAGCTTGTAGCCCCAAACTAAACTCACAGTAGAGAAATAAACCAAGCCATTGGAGTAGAGTCAGTAGAAAGTCTCTTGGTCAGTCTCTATACTTTTTCTATGACATGAGGAATGCATCTCAAAGATTCACGACATAGAAGAAACATTAGGCTTATGGAACATACAATAGTGAGCAAAACTTCCTCATAACATCCAGTAAGAAAACTTCCTTAGGGTCTATCTCAAAGGTCACCCTTCTATAGTTAGGCTTTTTTAACATAGGGAATACAAGGTTTTAATCCTTTCCTTATGAGAGGAATAACCTCTCATCATCTTTATTAGCAGGTCTATTCTATCTTAGCGTCCACATGTCCCAACATCTATACAAAGGATTGCATATGGGCAATATTGAAAAAGTTCTTTCTAGTATATTGCTGCTGCCTTTCTTGCAACTTTCATTCTTTTAGAACTATGTGGTATGGTTCAGCTACCTACCCGATTGAATTATTTGGCCCACTCATTATCAATGAGATCAGGGTACTTCCAGCAAGAAACATATCGAATAGTCGGAGCTCGGTTAGCTGAAAATCAAAATTTAGAACTACCAGCAATCATAAAGGACCTACATCTTAAGGAGTAGATGAAGTGAAGAAGTGCCAAAGTACAGCCAATCAAATTCATCAAGCCAAAGTTCAAATTGTTTGCATAAACTTTTATTAGTAATCTTAACAACCATCCATTAGAAAACATGAAGAAAAAAGATAGATGCATATATATGAAACTATTGTCACATAAATTTTATCCCGATTGAAGTCACTTATAATGAGAAGAAGCTCTATTTCATACACAGTCTAAGTACAATCTAAGTGCCTCCAAGCCATGTAACATTTTAAAATCATCAAAGGGAAGGGGGAAAAAAAACAAACAAACAAAAAATAGCCTTTCATTATATACATATAATGAATTGTATTTGTGAATAAAGAATTGAGCAATTGAAGATAATTTCACTAATCTAATTCTGAATATGAGAAAACCATAAGTTCAAATAATAATTCCAGAATTCGATCCAAAAAATAAAGATAAGTAGATAGTGAAATTTATATATAAGTTGCTATGATCATCTGTAAATGAAAATCAAAAGCTGAACTGTACCAGTAGAAGCGAGTCCTGCTCGGTTATCTCCGATTCCTTCACTTTCTGTACACACAACCTGATCGATCGAGAAGATTGCAGTGAGATTAGTGGATAAGCAAGTTGAATCGATCATTACACACAACTTGATTTCTGTACACACAACTTGATTTCTCAGATCATTACAGACAAAGTTGAATCGATGAAGATGTGTTTAGGCTTACCGATTATGAAATCTTCAACAGTTATGGACTTGAGAAAGTTGAATCGATCGATAGATTCGAGCGAGAGAGGCAGACTTTGAGAGGGAGAGGGAGAGAAAGAGAGCTCAGATTTGGGAAAAAAGGGGGCGGATTGAGAGGGAGAGAGAGAGTGTCAAGTTTTATAAGATTTTGATGGTAAAATAAGATTATGATGTCAAAAAATGATTGGGTCAGGAAAATGAGATGGTAAAATAAAATTTTGATGTCTAAAATTGATTTTTTGCGACCGTTTAATAATCTGTCGCAAAAAAATAGACGCAAAAAATCATATTTCTAGTAGTGAAACTATTCTTATTGGAAAGCTCGTATGAGAGCGTTTTTAAAATCCATCGATGAGAAAGTTTGGCACTGTGTAATCTATGGGTGGAGTGAACCTATTGTCACCATTGATGGTATTGATATTCCCAAACCCCTTGATAAATGGGACACAACCGATTATCAAAACTCGAGTTGGAACAGTAAGGCTTTCAATTCCTTTTTTTGCTCCGTCACACCTGAAGAGTTTCGTCATATTTGCACGTGTGAGGTAGCAAAAGAGGCTTGGGACATTCTTGAAACGATTCACGAGGGTACTACTTCTGTTAAAAGGTCAAAACTTTAACGTCTCACCTCTGCCTTTGAAACCCTTTTTATGCATGATGATGAGACGTTTGATGATTTCTATGCTAAACTTAGTGACATCATGAATTCCTATTTCACACTCGGTAAAAAAATCCCTGAAGCTAAAGTTGTTGGAAAAATTTTGAGGTCTTTACCCGAGAGGTTCCAATCAAAAGTGACAGCCATTAAGGAGGCTCAGAATGTTGATACCCTCAAGCTTGATCAGTTGGTTGGAAACTTGCAGACTTATGAAGCCCACCAGATTTCTAAGAAAAAACAAAAAGATAGTGTGGCTTTCACTAGTGCTCATGAGAATGCAAAAACTCCTGAGACTGAGTTTGATTTAGAGTCTGAGATGACGGCTATGTTTACTAAACAGTTCAAAAAAAATTTAAAGAAAAAGAAGCCTAATTTCAGAGACCTTATTTCAAAAGACAATGGTAGTGATAAACCCAAAACTTTTTCACCAAAACTTGTTCCAAAAACTGAAAAAAAGATTGTAAAGAGGCAAGGGGTCAAGTGTTATGAATGTAAGGGTTTAGTCATATTGCCCTTGAATGTTCTTCGAAAAAGAATCGGAAGAAAGTCTACACATTAACTTGGGATGATGAAAGCGGGTCGGAGCAAGAACTCGGAGAAACTGAATCTGGTGAAGACGGGGATAGTTCTTTCATGGCATTTTGGTTCACTTTTACTCAACCTCTTCCAAAGCCAGTGGAATTTGCTCGAGGTCAGAATCTGTACCGTGCTCTCACCTTTGATGGGGGTAATTACTTGTATTGAAAGATCAGAATGAGGGCGTTTCTGAGAGCTTTCGACCTAAAAGGCTAGCAAGCCATTGAAGAGGATGTTGAAAGTGCTGACAATCCGAGCAATCAGAGAGTTCTGATTACTGTTCGTAGAACAATTTCTGATGAAGAACAGCAAAGGGTTGCTCACTGCACAAAGGCTAAAGATACATGGGACATTCTGAGCCAATTTCATGAAAGAGTTCACCGCCATCTGTCACCTTTCCTGCCTTAGTTGCTCGACTGGATGAGGTCAAGGAGAATGAGGACCAAAAAGAAGACGATGAAACATCAGAAGACAATGATGAGATTAATGGTGATGATCTACAACAAGCTTACGAAAAGCTTTACGATGAATCTTTGAATTTGTCCAAGATCAATGACAAACTCACTTTCAAGCTCAAAGCATGTGAAAGCGAGAATGTCAAACAAAAAGGAGAACTTGTAATAGCAAAGCAGAATGTCATCAAGGTCTCTAGTGACATGCAAGATCTATGTGAGAAACTTCTATCTTGTGAAACTGAAAGGAATGAACTCCTGAAAGTATATTCCACATATGAAGAGAAACTTGAAAGCCTTGAGATGTCACAAGCTACATTGGAAGAGATGGTTTATCATAAAGATGAAGAACTCAGAATTGCTAGAGCCACAATTGCCATGTGGAACAAAGGTTTCAAATCATTAGAAGACATCCTCGGGTCTCAACAAATGGGTTGTGACAAAAGTGGGCTGGGCTATGGTAATGCGACAGCTCACAAGGGACAGGCCTTTATATCACATGACCTGAAGACTCAAGCAAAGGGAAAGCTGAAGGTACTCTACGGTGATCCCTTTCTTCATCTACCTAAAGGGGGTAAGATCAACAAAAGGGAGGTAAAACCCGTTTTTATTTGTCATCATTGTGGCAGGTATGGCCACATTCGTCCTTATTGCTTTTAATTGTTTGCTAAGGTGTCTCAAAAGGGTAGAAATTCGAATACTTTTTGGGTTAGGAGACAACCTTACATGTCTAGGCGAAACACCAAGATACATGAGGGTGTTCACAACGCCAAGACATTTATCAAGACCGCCAGACCTGATTTTGTTAAGACCAAAAAGATTTGGGTAAGAAAAGATGATTTGACTTGTTTGGTTGTTCACACTGCTCTAAAAGCACGTGACTCACACATGTGGTATCTTGATAGTGGGTGCTCTCATCACATGTCAGGTGACAAATCCTACTTCACCTCCCTTGAAAAATACGAAGGTGGAATTGTTACCTTTGGAGATGGTGGCACTTCTAGAGTCATTGGTAAGGGCTCTATAAGTGTTGCTGGTCTTCCCAAGCTTGAAAATGCATTACTTGTTTGATAGTCTTAAAGCAAATCTTTTGAGCATTAGTCAAATGTGTGATTCTCACCATGAAGTATTGTTTTCAAAAAATAAATGTGAAATTTTGGATAAAAAGGAAATACTGTCTTGCATAGGGTTCGCACATCTGATAACTACTATGGATTGTTACTACTAATGATCTCACTTGTTACTCAGCTATCATAAGTAACATTGATTTGTGGCATCAAAGATTAGGTCACATGAATTTC